CGCCACCGCATACAACACGCCGTCACCATCCACCTCATTCTTTTTCTTTCGCGCTAGCTAGCTTCGGTGCCCTGGAGCGCATCGGCCCAGTCGCGGCGCCCCCTGTGCGTCTAGGAGCTCCCTTTTTTGACTGAATATATTTATACTCGTATATAGTGTGTGAATAATTTTGAAAGATGGTCGTTGGATGAAACCAATCCGACGGTGCAGAGATGGCAAATTCGAGCACTACTATTCACTAGTAGACTGCTCGTGCGTTGCCATGGGCCAACAAATGAATTTACTAAAAAATGCTCTCGCCCCTCTTTCTATATAAAGGAACGACCAACATACACGCAACCGCATACAACACGCTGTCACCATACACAACACACATATCCAATGTAAGATACAAGGATGCCGAGGAATACCACCACAAAACACACTACAAATGGACCAAAAAGAAATGCTGGAGTCCATTGAGACCTTCAATGTGAGCCGGACATCGACGAAACATGTACTCAAAAGCCATGCCTAAAAGAAGGATACGCCAATGCCCAATTTCGGGGATCAAGTTTTCACCCAGAGCAACATGAAGGACAGAGAGTGACTACGATGGAGCCTTCAAGAAGGTAATGACGCCCGCCGACATTGCTCCTGTCGGCCTAAAAAAAAGGACAAGTTATGCACCCCAACTCTCACACATCTCCGCTGAACCAGGGTACCGCAAGATGCAAGCAGCTACAAACACCAACGCCATGCTACGCTAAACGCCAACGACCATGCCCCCACGTGGCCATGGCAGGCAGCCCGCACTGAGACGTGTGCTTCGCCCACTAACACAGTGTCCCTTGTCGCTAGGGTCGCAGCCCTGCAACCACACAACCCCGGGATCATCAAAAGGTCCCGGCTTTGGCCTGACCGACAGTCCCCAACACACAGAGTTGCCAATGACCATCCTGCCCCGAACATCGTCACATCATCGAAGAGAGATGGAGGAGCGGATCGTATCCATCAGTGACTGGTGGCTCGACCATCATCGAAGCCTCCCATCCCTCCAGCCAACCTCCCCACCGGACAACCCCACCATGGCAGCCGGCTCAGATACACCCAGCGGCCGCCCGCACACCGATGAGGGAACCAGGATGACCACCACCTGAAGCCAAGAAATCTCACCAAAAATGCCACCATGCGCCGCCCCAGGACGAGCACCACCTGAAGCCAAGAAATCTCACCTAAAATACAATCACATGCCGCCTACTGTAGCTCAGCTGTCGAAGCTAGATGGGCCCGACCGGACTCCGGCCAACAAGCGCCGCCAGATCATGATTCACGTCACTGCAGCGCCAGGCTTTGCTCCCACGAGAATAGAAGGTTTTGGAACAGTCGACGAGGTACGAGAACATGTTCTCTAGCAGTGTCCTCCCTCCCCAACATGCACCGACCATCTAGCTCACTTTATCCCTTCATATCTTCTCCAAGCATAGCAAATTTCTGATTTATGGTCCAGTGCATAAATATTAGAAATAATAATGAAGGGAAAGATACATTATTCTCTTGCACACGACACTCCACGCTCCGCCATCAACTCCACCTATGGTTTTCTTATTTCCACATGCGCGTATATGATTTGTGAAATTCTTTGATACAAATAGATTAATGATACCAATATTAATTTTGACAGAATCATATCATCATTCCCCATTCATCTTATAACAAAAAATTGATGAAAATGTTGAGTGTACTCGAAGTTTCATGTCGGTGAATCATTCCCCAAGAGTTACAGTCGGTGAATCATTTAGTGGGCATGTCTACTGACTTGTGAGAATAAGCTTCTTTCAACTCCTTTCTTGTCCATCGAACTATGAGCGGAGCATAATTTAAGCCTTGAATCATTGAGAAAAGAATCTCAGTCAATACTCCCAAAAGATAGACATGTTGTTATTAAGCACAATGATTGCCGTGTAAAAGGCGTAATTCAGGTGCGCCCTTTATCACCGGGAAACATCTGTATCTTTGAGTACTTTTGATGCAATGGTATATTTTGTGATTACTTGCATCCATGTGAGCAAAATGTACCTTTTGTTTCTTCACCTTAAAGTTATTCTTGTACTCCTCTCCATGTTTGTCCTTGACAAAAAATAAAAAAACAATAAGCATGATGCCATAATCATATGCTTGTGGGTGAGAGATATCCCGTTCATACGATTTGATGGATTACTTTGTCATCACTGCTATATTTATTAGCCATTGAGGAGCGTGAGAATAATTGGCGGTTGTGCATTGTTAGAGTGCGTGCATTGTCTTCCTTGACATATTTTTTATTTCCCGTGGCATGGATACTAAGAAATACTTAACGAGTACTCGTGTTAAGTTACTCGCTGCCATTCACTCTCCATGATAAGATGACCATACATGACATGTTTAGCTTTCTTATGAATGAGTAAAAAAACTGATGATATTTCTTGCTTCAATCATGTCATATTTTTTCCAAGCCCCATGCGAAGATTGCTGACTGCTTTCTGTTTCTTGTATGTTGCAGGATACTGCTAAAT